AACATGTGATGCATAAATTGATAACAACTCCTTTTATTTTGAAATGAGACTATCTAGTTAACTTGAGCGATGTCTTTGATTTGTTGTCGGTAATTAGACAATTTTTTTAAATGATATTCAAAATAAGAAATACAAGAACTTACATGTGCTTCCAATAAATTGGATGTGATTGCATCTCCTACGACATCTCGTTTATGTCTCCCACCAATTGTAGTATTTACGTTTGGGTTTTCACAGTTAACAGAGATCTCACATACACCATTATCATGCTACATCTCAATTTGAGACATATTCAAATATATGTCATTTTCATGATAACATCCAAAAAAAATTTGCGAAACTACACGAGTCATTACTATGTCCGCTTGTACTTAAACGAAAAACTTTTAAATGTGACTAAAAACTTGAAATCTTTCTTTCTAAATAACAAGTGTTCGTTCCAAAATATTTTGAAGTTGTGTGTGATGATTATTATATAACTTCAATGGTTTTGAGCATGTACAAGTTGTGTTTGCACAGTAAGCACTTATATGATAACGATATCATCTGAAAGTTACTAAGAACTTATTTGTATTTGCATATCCTCAGTCAACCGAATAAAATTTATTTTTGTGTACCTTAAACTCACATTCTTCTACTGTTTAACATAATACTCTCATTTTAGCAGTTAACCCTTTCCCACCAGCACCAATATATGAAAATTGTCGAGTAAAAGAAACTACAACCATCACATTTTGTAACATAAATCCTTTCTATTATGATACATATCATGTGTCTCTCTATTGACCACTACGGGAACATGAGTCCCATCAATTACTCCAATTGAATTTTTAAAATTTCAAAAAAAATGAGGAATTTTGAGAAAATTAAGGGTCACAATTCACTTCACCACATGACAACTTAATGAACTCATTCGATAATGATTTAATTAATTATAAGAAAAAAATTAAAATACCTACTAGTAGTTTCTAAAGAGTGTTGAAAAAATTCACAGAGTCGTCTGTAGCTACGAGCATGCACTACTTCTCTAAGAAAAATATCCAACTGCTCTACAACATCTATATTTTTTGTGTAATGCATTAATCCTTGAGTAGTTAATAAGCTCCTCAATTGTATGAAAGCTTTTTAGGAGTGCCTAAAACAATTGCAAGAACTTGTTAGATGATCAGCTACCACATATACAACATATTCATGACCTGAGTAGGACATGTCAAATATAGGTCTACGAATGTACTCATTAACATCCGAAGAATTATTTACCTCTATAACAACATATGATATCAACTATGCTATAGAATTATTGACTGTATCTATGTTTCAATGATCTGAGAAATCTCTTCAGGAAAAATATCAAGAAAATAATTTGACATTGCAACAATTTTTAATAAAATCACATTACAAAATAATATTTTGACATAATAAATATTAAATATAATAAATGTCCAATATGAAAAAAAAATTAATGACAAGAAAAAAAAAATAAAAAT